AGAAGTGACAAAACAGGCAGGCTCTGAGTCCTGGAGAGTATTTCTCCATTACAGCTGTGCTGACAGGATCCCATAAGAGCAAGCATCAGATCTATGGGAGATGCAAAATCAACCAATAGATATATGGAGAAAATACAGCACATGGAAACGTGGTGAAACATTTTAACTATTAAATGAAAGGCCTATGCAATCTACTTTAACATTTAATCTGCAGAACTGTATTCAGCTGTACTAATTTCTCCCAAAGCTTTGCATTTAAGAGTATGTGTTTAACATTAAGTCAGACTTTCCAATGCCAAATGCAAAAATTGACATGGTTTCCAGATGTAGATTTTAGTAGATCATGTCTCAGATAATTAAGGGCTGTCAGATCTGAGTGGGTTAGTAATTGAAGCTGTATAGAACACAATTTATTGTCAAACAATACCAGACCTTCAGTGAAAAGCAGAAATCACATCTCTCTAATACAGGCTTTTTATTCTGGGAATAAGCTTGGAGGTATTGATTGAAAACATCAGATTTTCCTTCCAAATGGAAAAGTTAAAACAAACAAAAAGCAGTTCCCTGGAACACTCTTTATATGTGCTTTGTTGTCTCCCTACATTACCATGTTTACTTCTTGTTTTCTTCTGGAAAACATGTACAAATTATGCAGTTTCCCTAACCTACTCTACTTAGTCAGAGGAGACAGACCTGAACATCAACTGTTTGTATTCAGCTCACTGCTGCTCAAAATAGTTTATAGTTGAGAATAAACTGAACCATCAGAAATAGGATCTCAATCCTTTGAAATGTCAGCAGATCAAGTTCACTGCACAAGCAGGAGCTGAATTTTCAATCCAGAAGGCTGCATCTTTGTCAAAAGCTCAAGATTATTTAGGTGAGCTGATTTACTAACATGGCAACTAACGAGATTTGTGCTCCAAAGTTTGATTTATACTTTGGATTCATCTTGTCAGTCTGGCTGCAAATTATATCTGCTAAGAGAAACATTTTACGTGGTCCATTTTTAGTTTGTTCAGATTGCTGAGAAGCCCATAGTAAGTCATCCCAAGCATCAGACACAAACTCTGCTTTGTCCTGGGTGACCATGTAGGAAAACTGAAAGAATAACTGCAAATGGGATGTTGGGGGCTGGCAAGAACCTGACCCAGTGTCTGCAAAGGCTAAGCAGGTCTTCTGGTTCAGGATATCCCTCTTTATCTCTTCACAAGCTGGACAAGCCCATGGAGGGAAGGGACCAGACCAGTGGCTGAACTCCCCTACACCTCTTCACTGACATCTAGGAGCAGGATTATCTAACACTGATACATTAATTCACTGAAACCAAGGGCAAGATGTTCCTTAACTACCATAAAGACTTAGTAGGTCTTTGGTTTTAATCTAAGGGAGAGAATAAAATGTACACAGCCTTCTCTCAGTCTGCCCTACAAAAAATGAAAAAAAAAAGGTGACTTGGGCAACTTTGACACATCAATGCTGAAGATAAATCAGAGAGCAGAGAAAGGCAAAAAAGGGCTCTTGCTTTCCAAATCCTGTCAAGCATCTTCACAAAGTTGTTCTTTTACAGCATTCACACCTTTAATCTTCTATTGTTGACTAAATCTGAATATCACAATGAAAAAAAACCACAAAGAAGTGTTAAAGAATCTTTTCATTTTTTCCTTTTATATTCTTACCTTAAAAGTTGTTGAGAATATTAATGAATGAATAAAATAGAAACACATTTTAGAAAGAAGGCAGTGTGTTTTCATTAAGGTTTGGAAGTACAAGTTGCAGTTCAGGTACATAACATTAACTTCAAGTAATGATCTGCAGACAGCTTCCCAGAGGGAAATCGGTGCCACCTATAACAAAGCCAGTTTGCTGAATACTTTTCTGCCTTCAATATGCTTGAAGTTCATCAGAGCACAAATAGAAAATGCAGTAAGGACAGATGAAATTCTGAAAATGGCAGCATTTGAAAAGGCTGCATGTCTCAGAATGTGTCCCCTTTCTCCCTTTTCCTTTTGGATCCAGTGGCCAACTGGGTTAAGCACAGGGTATGTCTGTGCTGCATTTCCATAGTTGCACTGGGCTCAAGTTCCCATAAAGAGATGTCACAGACATCAGACGGGTGGCTTCATTTCAGCAGTGGCAAGGACAGGTCCTGTATGCAGCTGCTGGATGCTGCCAAGCTGCAGCAACCCAGGACAGGAGGAGCTGTATAACCTCTGTCCCCACATAATTAAAAGCAGAGCTGGGGCTCAGCTTCCCAGCATCTGCTCTGCAGCAACCCCACACCCCAAAACAGCTTCCCTAGCAGAGCTCAAATCCTTAGTACAAAGGAGTCATTGAAAAGCAAATCATTTTAATCTGTGGTATAGAAAGAGGTTCTGCAGCCAAGCTGACAAATCTTCCTCTTTAGTATTGATTGAATGGTCATTTGTTATAATGATGGCTAAAAGAGTCAAGCAGATGCTACAAATATTGCTGTTTTGATTTATAAATGTAGAAAACTGTTTGCCTACTTGCCACAGAAAAATGCAAAACTTCACATTCTCTGTTCTCCATACACAGTTGTCCAGGTAGATTTTCTGAGGCATTTTTTCTTTTGCTTTTCATGTTTTAATAACAGACTATTTCACAGACCAATGGCAAATTTGTGAATACTGATGATGTGGTGCTATGCGTCTACCTCAGATCTCCACCTCCGGTGCTAGAGAAGATAATAACTCAGGATAACTCAGCAGGCTTGCTAACTTACCATGTCAACAGGGAATGTTTATCCTGCACATGCAGGATCAGTTTTACCTCAAGAGGTTTGGCACAGGAGAGCTGATAAATTCACAGCATGTATTCAAAAGCTGCTTTCAGCAAAACATTTCCACTTTTATTCTGGCGATGCTCAGATGTGGCTGAAGAAATCTCCACAAAGTGAAAGAAAAGATGGGGCCAGAAAGTACAGATTAAAGAGAAATCATAGTTGAATTGTGCTTGATTTTTCAGCTGCATCAGATATCAAGGGCTTTCTCATTGCACAGTGGAAGGAGGCAAATGAATATGGCTATAACATGGACAAGGTCTGGACAACAGTAATGAGGAGGACTATAGCTAATAAAAGGAACAGTACAAATACAAGTAAGCAAATTAGCATATAGAAGGTAAAAGCACCATTTTATCATGCCACACCGACAAAATTACCCCAGAAAATTGAATGTAGAGCTCTAATTGATGCAATTGAGAGAGACAGAGAAGCTAATCTGAGTACTTAATGACTGTGATGGGAGCATCACAATGTAATTGCAATGTACTTTTTTTGCTACAATGTATCATCACACCACCTCTGCTCCTCTGGAACAAATACATTTATTTGAATAGAAGCACTTAGATCCCCAAATCCCTTTGTTTCATGACAAAACCTGCACGCCATCTCCCCTGTCAAGGAGCTGCAGTTTTGGATACCTGTGTTTGTAGCACAGTGTTTATCTTGGGATCCATTTCATATCTGTGCCTCTGTACAGCCAAACTCATGAATTTAGTTAGTTTGTTAACTTAACTGGTCCAGAGAGAACTATGGGGGCCGTCCTGCAAGGACATAATACTTCTTCCCCAAGCTCCCTCATGTATTACAAAACTACCTTATTTGAGATATTTGATGCCAAACCTCTGCAGTGAAGAGGGAAACTTATTTTCCCGATTGCATCATTTAAACAAGTCATCTATCATTTTCATAATGTGTAAAATGAAAACAATACTAGTCTTTTTCCCAAAGGCATTATTAGACCCAGCCCACTAGTTTCCTCTCAGATTCCCCAGATTATAGTGGAAAAAATTGTTGTTGTTGTTGTTATTATTATTATTATTATTATTATTATTATTATTATTATTATTTCTTCTTCACCACTATCAAGACATTGCATGCAGACATAAGACAGATAGCAAAACAGTAAGGAAAAAGCCATACACTTTTCTTTGGTGTCTGTCTTTTCTTTGATATATGTTCTATAACTGGTCCTGTCTCTGCTGCTCTGTCTCTCCTGGACCTGCTGCTACAGTCCTGTGACATGTTACGTTACTAGTGAAGACATGTGGTTGAAAATACCTGGTTTCTTGCTATATTTTTCAATGGAATTTCTTCCCTCTCTCTTATGTCAACTTGCTAAAGATTGTTATTGTTCCCCTTGGGGGAAATAAAACAGAAAAAACAAAACTTTCCCTTTTTCTTTTTTTTTTTTCAAGAGAAATGGTTAGCTTTTTGAGAGGATGCTAAGACATTCTGGAATTATTTCTGACAAAGTGCTTTTTTTCCTATTAACTTGTTATTTTTTTTCTTTAAAATTATTTTCTCTGAGGAGGACTTTTAAAATGAACAGAAAATCTGAAGAAACAGAAAAAAAATGTTCAATCTGCTTTGCTGATGTGTTACTATTAAAATCAGCAGCATGTTTTTAATGCTGCTTTATATTTTAATGCTATATTATTATTTTTAATGCTATATTATATTTTAGTACTATTTTTCTTTAAACCCATGCATGTATTGCAAATCACAAGAGTTTCCAGCAGAATACAGGCATCAATAAACAGAAACAACCTATTTCCATGGAAACAGCTCTTCTAAAACCTGGACAACGAGAGCATGTGAGCGCTTACCTGACTATGTGTCATCTTTCACGTGAAGTTGGTGAGGTGAAGTATCCTCTCACGGAATCTGGCTGCCTTCCTCGAGCAGAAGAATTGTGGTACCATGTGCCATGGCCCCAGTTTGGGATGCTGGAGGGATATCTGCATCCCAGTGTCCTAGGCCCATGGAGGGTGGGGAATTAAGCTGTTATTGTAAAAGGTATGCAGCACTAGCAGCGTGGTTTTGTACTATCCTTGTGATTCAGGACAGGGAAACATGCTTGAGAGATGTATTAATCACTGCAAATTGGCTGGATCACTTGCCTTGACAATTCTATGCAATGGATAGAGAAAGATGCAACTGTATTAATTAATGTATTGTATTAAATCACAGTTTAAATGCGTTGGCACCCGGAGTGAAGATCAGCAGCACGTTTGAATGATACATGTCATATTAGCACTTTTGTTATTTCTGCCTGAATTGGAACTCTTCTGCAGAGCTAGAGCAAACATGGAGCAAATATAATTCATACTGCAAACGTGAATACATGCAGTGTTAGAGGGGGAAAGAATGCACTTCTCCTGGTGTTTAGAATAATCTTCAGTTTGTCAGAGGTTTTATAGGAAGTTCACAAGAGACAGTTGCAAGCAGAACCAGCTTGGCAGGGGAGGCAGGCCTCCCTGAGATAGCCCTGTGGGGATCCTGGTGAAAATGAGCTCAGATTTGACCAAGTGAGGAGTCTTTGAGAACAGCATTTTCCACACATGTGGCAATGTGGTTTTTTCATATTATCTAACAAAAGCATTCAGAGTGAATATAAGCTGCTCTCTGCATGCACAAGCAGCTAACTGGCAGGCAGGCCGAGCATTCACACCTTCTGAGGTACGTACTGAGCGAGCCATATTCTTCCTTTATTCACTGCTTAATCAAATGCACATAAAGTGCTCCACCTGGACTCCTGCAATGATTGAAAAATGTGGCTAAGTAAGTTTGGGGGAGCACTGTGATGATTTAGAAGTTGTTACAGGACCAGAAATCTCAGAAGGCCCTGCTGCTCTCTCTGGATCTGCTAAGTGCAGGCCTGCAGTCACCCCATACTAAGGCAGCAGGAGGTGAGAATCTTCATCCTCTTTAAAAGCAGAAAATACCAGGAATTGCCAACATGTGGCCTCACGACCACAAACTGCAGGATTCAAGTGTATACTCTGTCATTATTTAACTTCTCCTTGTGGATTACTGAGATTGCCAAGTGTACAGGACTTCAGTTTGCCATAGTCTTTGTGCTTAAAAGACTTTCTTTTTTTCCCCACTTCTGTGCTGGATGTACTAGAACATGACTTAATCTTTGTGAGATTCATTCTGGATCACTATGCTCTTGATTATGTAATTTGTCAAGATGTACTACTTAAGGAAAAGCAGGTGCTCAGTACAGATTCTCACATCAGAGTTTAGCAGCCAGATTCCCAATGCATGCACCTATTTTGTATCAGCTGAAGGCAACAAACAAAAGGTGATATTTCCATTTTTGGGGCCCAGTTTGAAGTGTCCAAGGCATTTTTTTGCAGCTGATTGGTTTTCAGTGTCCAAGCTGCAGATGGCCTCTGTGTGGGGAAATAGGAAGGGAGGGATGCTTCCCAAGGGAGGTGCTCTGGGAAGGAGGTTGTTGTAGGTGCTGAATGCTCTGTGTGTGACCACTTTAGGCTGTTGGGATTTTGTTGTTCCTCACGATGCTCTGGGCACCAACAACCCTGATTAGATTACATTTACATTTTCAGTGCTGCATCCTTTTCTTGTAACAGCAAAGGCCAGAAAGATAAAGGAACTGACCCCATCTGCTTTCCAGCATGTGACAACACCTGGCAGTGCTAGGGCTCAGAAAGGGATGGAGAATCAATATATTTGGGAGTTATTTTCATAACTTACCCTAGGCTTTCACACACTTCCTGACCAAGCAAGCTGCTTTTGGAAACAAAAGCATTCTCTCCATTTGGCTAAGAGTGTAATTCTGGGCCACTCGGAGACTGAATGTGCAGTCCAAAGCATTAGTGGCTGTTATTACTATTTGTTTTCATGTTGTACCACCTTCAATGAAAACCCATTCTTAGGTCAGTTCCGTAGTCACTGCACAGTTACAAAACCAAATGACAGTTCATGCACAAATGAGCTCGAAACCCAAGTAACAGCATGTTTTAACAATAAATGTATTCAGAACTTCTGTCTTTCCTGGTTAGCCAGGAAATGAGGCTTTTTTTGCCTCTGTCAAAGGCCTGGCAGGAGTCATCCTTCATTTGGACACATCCATAACAAACAGCTCTCCCTGACACTGACCATAGACAGTACAGAAAAAAAAAAAATGAACCTGACTGCCACATTTAAAGTTACTCTGGGGTGCCGGGAAGCACCAGCCTGCCATGCTCAGCCCTGCTGGGGATGGTTTATCGAGCTCTAAACCTTGAGCTGCCTCAGGCTCACCTCTGCTTTCACCTGTCCAGACATGATGGGGACAGGGCAGGGAAACTAAAAGGAAATTAACCAAGTGTCTACAAAAAGCACTGTATTGTTTTTCCAGAAAAAAACAAAAAAAAACCCAGTGAAATTCTTAATGTTACTAGTTCATATTAGCACAGGCAGGATGATATCTAAACATATGTCTGCATTGTGCCAAAAAGAGAGATAAAAAAGAAATCCTAGGTGGCCTTGAAATTACAGAGTGTGTGCTGCAGGAGCTCTTAAATTCCTGCAAAAAATATTTCACATTCTGAACAAAACCATGTCTAAAAATAGGCCCATAAAAGATACGTGATGGCATTGCTCTGTGTGAGCTCATGTGCATTGAAAAAACACAAGAATCACCAAGCAAACTGTAGGTTTCATGCAAGATGCCCACAGTCATTTACTTTTTGTGACCAGTCCAAGTTCTACTCTTACCCTGAAAGAGAAAACATTGATAGATCCCAGAGCAAAACAATTGTTTCAACGTAGTAAATTGAATCCAAACATGAAAATAAGATGGAAGACCTAATTTCCAGAGTTGTAGACACACCTAATTAGAGCTCTCAGCTGCAGACTCTAGGGATTCTAAATGAATGGGAATGACATATTACTAGAAGTAAAATAATATGAGCAGGAAGACATGGCATAATTTAGTTCTAACAGATTATGTGAAGCTACGTAAAGATTATACCAACAGTTAAGTGATCTGAAACTCCACCAGTGCAGCCAGAAATGTTTAAGCACACTGCTGTCTTCCCAGGAACTGTAAAATTGCAGTGTTGATGAATAATAACATAACTTCCCATATGCAAACCAGCTGGTTTGCATAAATATTTTAAAGTGTTCATGACCAATACTTTGCTGTGGTATGACAAGCTTGCAGTATCTGACAGATGAGAGCTGCAGACTTGCAACGTACCAAGCAGTGCAATTAAATATTTTCAGATCTTGAATGAACTTTATTTTTATTGACAGCACTACAGGTTGTGATTTTTGACATCCACCTTTTCTTAGTTAAGACCTAAAGCTGACTATTTGAAAATTCTCCATGAGAGAAAATGCTTAAAAGGCTTGTCTGAGCTCAAGAAAATGGACCAAAAAAACCTCAAAAAAAACCCAAAATCGTGGAATTTTTTTCTGTTTCTCCAAGATTATTAAAAAATAAAGATAGTATTATAGAATGTAACATGAAACGATTTTCAGAATGAAAACTGTCATTTGGCTTTGACAACATTAAAGTTATAAAATTTACAATTATGAGGAGTTTTTCGCCTCTCAGAGAACATGTGTGAAGTGAGCGAACATGTGTGAAGTGAGCTTATTTGCACAGCATTTGGGGGTTTTTTGATAGCAAATTTTCCCATGAAGAAAGGTGCTACTCATATTCTTCTAGGCTCACCTTTATCCCATGTAGCTCAGATCACCCAATTCTGCCCAAAGCTCACATCTTCCAGCTGTGCAAAGATACTCTTTAAAAAAGATATCTGGTCGTGGCAGAAGTGCATCAAGGGATAAAGAATTTCTTGTATTTTCACCATGACACTGAAAGATTATGAACCAAATGCTCAAGAAGCAGTCCAGGAGACCAAATGGTTCAAAAAAAGACCGACCAAAGCAGGGGAAAATTGTATCCAATTTCTGCAGGCTTTCCAAGAAGAAAGGTACTAATCAAAGAACAGTGAAGTACTGGAGCATGTTGCCCAGAGAAGAAAGGTTATGCCACGATGAGGCAGGGAATATAGCCCTAGGATGGTGCAGAATTCCTGGGGAGTGTGAGTTTGTGGTTCATTGATTTTTACCCCCTCTGGCAAAGACAAAGGCAGCAATAGCCCATACACAAAATTCTGGAGGTGACTCTTGGATGTGACTGCTGTTGAATGCCCAGAGCAAGCTGATGCAGCAGGTAAAGGGAAGCAGGGTTAAGAATTACAATGAAAGTCAGGTCATGTAAGGATCCATTTTTTAAACGGGGCACCTCAGGAAGAGGTACAGCAGCAAAGCTAAAAAAAGCTAACCTGTTTTACTTTGCACATAAGCAAATGAGGAGCGCCCACACTGATACTGCACCTAAAAGAAAGTAAGAGAGGGCTTCTTAACTCCTAATCCTCTTTAATGAGATTACTGTCACATATCAAACTGTGCACCTCACCTGCACAGGGTTTTCTGTAGATTTGAAAATAATATATCCCTTTTAAACACTTTTTTTGCGTTCAGCCATTCTTCCAAGTTGCTTAATTAAATAAGAGAGCAACCAAACCAACCAAAAAAAAAGTGAAATGCAAAATAATTACATTTGCATAGTGGAGAATTTAGAGGAGTGATGGTTCTCTAGAGTCTCTGGTTTTTGACCCATGCTATAATTAATTACAGCATAAAATGTGTGCCAAAATAATTGCAATCAGGTTAGAAAATGTCAGTTGCTCACCTGTGCATTCTAAAGAAGTGTCTGGGTTGTGCTTTTAAAGCTACATGAAAACAAACTCAGCTAGAAACTTTTGCAATTCAAAATATTTAGCTGAATGACAAGAAAACTAATCCTTGGTTTATTATTAGACATGATAAAAGATTTCTGAACATCCTAGATATTCATATTTTTCTTTTGCTTTTTTAATGCAGTGCTACACTGAAAAATGACTTTGTCAAAAAACATCTGAGTCTTTTGAAAGTGAGAAGTGGTGGTTGAAACACAAAACAAAATGCCTCAAAGAGGTCTAATGTTTGGAGATGTGTGCTCTGCTCTTTCTCTGTTCCACCCACTTTGAGGATGGCATCAAGTCTGATGTCCAAAAATTGAGGTACTCAGAATCATTAGCTTCCCCTGAAACACCAAGGAAAGAGAATCTGGCTTAGGTTATCTGTCCTTGGTGCAAAACTATTTAAAACCAGGGGCTTATTTTGGACCTTGACATAAGTTTTGCTGCTCCCATTAGCTCCAGAGCATGAACAAAGCAGTGTGTGCTTCTGGTGTATATGTTACTGATTGAGAACACTGCAAAACAGCTGGAGCGCTTCTAATTTTGACCGTGGAGACTTCTGATCCTGTCCTGTCAACTGAGACACCAGGAGTCACAGATCACCAGCAGATTTGTTAAATGGTTTTTTGTTAAATTTGTACCATGGCTGGTACCTCAGTGGAGATTTGCTGACAATAGCATGGAAGGCCAGACTTTAACCATAGGACCAGCTGCTGCCATCCCTAGTGATATGTGGACAACTCTGGAAATCAGATCAAGGAAGTTAAAAGGAGGATTGTGGAGGAAAGCACAGAGTATTCTTGATCTCATGTGGAGGAAACCAGCATCCTAGAACATGCCAGTGATTGCATTCACGAGGCAATTAGAAGCAGTCTGTGAGACTTGTTGGAAATTCATTACTCATGTTGATGTGTG